TCAATATAGGGTTAGAAAAACTCTAAATTTTTCAAACAATCCTTTTTGTTACGATAATTATTTTTTTGCGGATATGGACATATTCACCTTATTCATTTTGTGTCGTGTTGGTACAACAGCTGAGTATACTTGACAAATTTAGATTGTTTTGTTACCTGTTTCAACAATTAATCCTTTGCTTTAAATATAACCTTTATAGCACTGGTTTTAATATATTTCGAATATTTCGATTAACGACAAATAATCTAAATTTTTTTTTCCATTTCTGCCTGAAAGTAAGTATAGTTCTATTTATTCAACATACATACCACTTCTCAAAAGATGTGATTCTATTGTATATTAGTTATAACAACCTTTACTAACGATAAACATTAATTTACTTAAAGTGATAATACATTATAAAGTACTTCCTCATATCTTTTGGGTGTATGCTTTTTCTAGAAGTTTTTTCAAAAAAATCATTTTAATTTGTTGTTCTATTAATTTGATACACTTAATATAATCTGTGCTTTCGTTTCTGTTTATAAAATAGTTTGGTCATCTATATTGAGATATTCTCTACTATGTATTGATCTTCTCTACTTACAACCACAGGTGAATCTTTTATATTTGATTCGATTTCCTAAGTCACTGTTCTTGATGTTACTACTATATGATAGCTAAGGTTCCGTAGCAATCCGCTTTACCAAATATTCCGAAACAGTCTTAATAATTTTTTATTGTGTTTTGGATGTATCAACAAAAACTTTCTTTATCAAAAAAAAACTACCTATGTCCCGGAATCGCATGGAAATAGTATAGTATTTATAATATACAAGTGAAGCCAGAATTTACGCAAAAGAAACAAAAACTATCTTTATATATTCAAGCGAAACGCACTGTGAAAATTATATGTTGATACACATATTACTATATTCATACTTATGATAGGATAATATGAAGATGACCGAAGCAATGTTTATCCCAAACCAAAATGAACCAAATGGTCAACCAAAGGAAAAGGTTGACCAGAAATCAGAAGATTTAAAAAAAAGAATACTGAACCCCAAGACTGATATGAATAGCCGAATTAGAGCAAAATAGATACAAGTGAAAAGTTGGAACGCAAAAATTATATAAATAGAGGGGATAGAGCATAATTCAAGAGTTAGGAATTAGTTGTGAAAACCCAAAATTTTGGTTTATAAACATTAAATTAAATTATAGTATACTACAAGTTTAATTAAATTATAGTACAAGTTAGAAATGAAAGCTGCAAAATAAACACAACCTTGTAGTGATAGTTATTCTAATGACCTCGCAAGTGATGAGGATAATCTTGTTTAAAGTTCAACTTCTTTCCATTTTTTTCAAAATTCTATCTGATATTTGTACTTTTTTATATGTGTTTTCTAATGCTAATAGATAACAAGACGTATCTGTAACTACTCATAAAATATCAAATGAACTTACATATCAGATAAATAATAATGAACATAATCAGTCTTTTTACGAAGAAAAAGAAAATATTGCAATCATTTTAGTAAATCCTTCTATTACTTTTTTTTATATGAAGAGAAAGAAACTGCTGTTTACTTTCATATCTCTTAAAATACATTTTTACCAATCAATTATAGTAATTGATTTAGTTATTAAAAAAAGAAAAGAAAAATACAATTTCATTAACTAATAACAATAATGTGGATAGTATTTCCCATACTTCAAATCGTACAACTGGCTAGAACACCCAAAAATCAAGACACTGATTTAAGCCTATCCATTTCTAAATGATTGAATGAACAAAAAACGAGTGGAGAATACTAACTCGTAAAAATGTTTATTTTAGTATTTTATTCTGACTTCAATCCTTTTTTAAGTATACTTCACATTCTGGTTTATTTTTATTAACACTTTTTTAATGAGTTTTGTTTTGATATCTTAATTTTCAAGTTCATCGCACTTAAAAAGTTCATCAAATTATTTCCCTTTAATAAATTTCTTCATTTAATGGAAGTCTATTGTAAGCCTGTGAATCGTATTCACATTGTGGAAAGGTCTTTGACCCAAATTAGGACATATGTATCGCTTGCTAACGAAGAGAGTAAACTAAAAATTTAATTTTCATTTCATGTATTGCTTGTCCTAACATCTTTTAAGCTAAAAAGACAAAAAAGCACGCACCAACTGCCAAAATCAGGCAGGGTATATAGAGAAAACGTACACCCAAATCCCATCAAGGAACAAATGCAACAAATTTGTCACAACCGAAATATAAACAGAAAATTCTGAAATGACATTAATTGCATGCTGCATACAGTAAGTAAGCCTTTGGAAATACTAAGTAGGAAAAATACCATATGTTGCCATATGACCAAAATCATTGCACATACGAGTGGAGTGTGTATTGAGATACAGCTATTTCACAGATACAAATACTATGTGCATTCGTGCTGCTTAAGGCTTTGCCCAAAATAGAAAATTCTTTTTGTTTAGAAACGCATTTTGTATACAAAAGTCGTGTGCTGCATAAGATCTGGATGTTCTCTTATTGCAGCCGATGAACTGAAATTTTGACAGGCAGGCAATAGACTTAGACACAACATGGGTCACCTTGCCACAGGCTAAAGCCTACAATAGGTAGTTACATTACATCATAAACACAGAAACAAAATATTACTAGTTCATGTTTAGTTTACCTAAAGGTGTTCTTCCTTCCTTCTTTTTTTTTGTCAGTTTTAATTGTTCACTTTTTTAATTTTGTTTTATTTGACAAAGAACAGATTTTGTATCTTATTTTTGTTTTCTGTACGAGGTTCGTAGCTAAATTTTTCTATCTTTGTTGTCAATTACTTTATCCACAGTAGCATAACTGAAATGTGGGACTTGACTGCATTTTACCCTAGAACAGCTCTTCAGTCGCCTATTGCACATTGTCGCGTACACTTCAAACCGTCCGCAAAAATGAAGTTCATTTAGTGAAGTAGTGTTGTGTCGTATCTCTATCATTAGTGAGTTCTTGCAGCATCAATTGAGTAATATCGGCTTCCATATATTGATTGTTGTAAATTGCTTCAATTAAGTTATTTGTGAACTATAAAAACAATGGTTGCCGGAACAGCAACTTCAATTAAATTGCCTAATAATAATTTAAAATTGTCATTTACGGTAAGAAGCAGCACTCTTATAACTTATAACTCTTATAAGATACATCTGTGTATTATTGAGCTTATTAAACTGACAATATTTTATGGATATTTCCTTACGGAAATCATAAAGTAAAATTTGTAATTGATCATTTTTGTATGGAAACGTTGTGAAGTGGGGGGAAAAAATGTTTGAATCTTACATATAAATTTTTTAAATTTATATAAATACAAATTATGTAAATCTTAATACTTAAGAAATCCTTCGTTCCTTCATATCAAAACTATGAGAGAGCGATCTACAAATTATTTAACTTTATATATTTATTTATTATAACTTGCATCTATTGCAAATAAATTCACATTCACAAATAATTATGCATGTTGTACTCCATAGTGGATATATCAATATCCTATTGATACTTTTAGCAAATAATGTTTGTTATTGAGAAATAGTACATATGTATTCTCAGGTCCCTTCAATACATATATTTACGTGTAGTTTTTGATCGTACAATATATCTTCAAACCCGCAGTACATCCAGAACTGTCACAAAAATATTTAAATGTATAATATTAATAATGTTCTGTTTCTTTAATTTTTCATTGCTGTAATGCACCGGTAGTAAACTATATTCTTGAGTTTTCAGAGTTTTATTAATAAATCTATTATTAATTAAAATTACTTAAATTACAATCCCTTTACAATTCGCTTTAGATTTTTTATTCTCAAAAATTTCATTTTTTGATTATCAAAATCCAATATCTTTATTTCTTTGTAAAAACCTATATTTCTGTTTAATATGTATATTGTAATATACTCAATTTTTGTAGTATTATCACATTTATCTTGTGTATTGTTATAATACAATAATGTATTATCAACTGTTTTACAAATATGTACGTAACTGCTTACCACCTATACAACCTAAAAAAATTATTCCTAGTTATTCGCTCTTATGTTTTATTATAACAATAAGATAATCTATTCACATTTTTTTTACCTGTCGAATCGTATAAGATTCAAATTTTAAAACCTTGGAGAAAAAAGTATGGATTGCAAACTATGAAAACATTTTTAAAGTAGGTAGATTTTATCCAATCTTCACCCGAAAAGAAGCTTATACTAAAAATAAACAGCGTTTTAAAAACGATGTAAAATTTTGACAATTTTTGTTATCTCAATTGTTATCTCTAAAAAAAAAAACACATTACAACTCTTCTGAGTTCAATCAAACTGCTAACTACAACCAGCAAAATCCCTGATCGTTGCAATCGGAACGTCGGATATGTATCCAATCTTCATCGGCGCATTTATTTTGCGCTGCAGCCAGTTAGCTTTCTTACAAAATTAGGTGGAAAAAAAATACAATACCAGACCCAGATCCAATCACATCTGAAATGAGCCTTAAATCCGTTATGATAGAACATATCTGTGCTCTTTCACTCTAGAATTATCCTTTATTATTTCTCCGCATTACAAAAGTGTATTCATTTCATTAAAAATCCAATTTTTAATCAACAAAAAATTACAAATAAACTTAAACATTCATAAAATTTAAATTCATAAAAAATGTTTGTTTAGAGTTTTTTCAGCGACATTATTTATTCAAAATGAAAATGATTGATTTTAAACAAAAAGTAAAAATAAATTCATCGAGCAGTGATAATCGGAATGGACGCAGTTGCTTTAGAGCACGGTTCGTCTTTCGTTGGAAAACATGGGTATATCCAAATAATTAATTCTAATCGCGTACTAGTTACATTGTAAATATATGTATTCTGCAATTCTTTACTTAATACGAATTATCCAATAATTTCTTTATCAATGGTTTGTCTTTATTTAATTTTTATTAAATTTAATTTTTCTGTTTCCAGGCTGAACTCGCAGATGTTTTACGTAAACGTCGCAATCGTCCAGATGCTTCTGATGAAGATTTGGGTTTGCCACGCAGTCCTGCATCACCACAAAGACGAGCAGAGCAACAACGGAAATCAAGCGCCACTGTACAATACACAACCACGCCCGCTAATGTTAGCAACAATAGTGAATTATGCTCGTTAAGTTTATTGAGCATGACTAGCACAGATTGTGATGATTTTTCAAATGCAACATCGACCAATATTTCGAATTCATCAGTTCAGAGCATATATCGCCACGGACGAACAGATTTATTACGACGCTCAACCAGTGATAGCTTTGGCATTACTAATGATGAAGTCGATCTGTTTGACTCCAATTGGCAAAGATTATCACATGCAGCTGCAAAGCATAAAATGGCTGTTAGACCAACAAAAAAGAAGGGACCCAGTCGACATCACAGACGTACTCTAGAGGTAACTTACTAACTTGATTATTTTTTGTCATTATGTTCTTTATGATCATTACTTCTTCAATGCTAGACTTCCATACCTGAAGCCATTGAGGAGACACCCAAAACATACAACAAGCGTAACTTGGACTGTGTTGGTACGTATTTTATATTAATAAATTACAACAAATAATTTAATGATGGTTTATAATGCAGATGATGCCAAAGCTAAAACACGTTCTCTCCCACCTGGCGTAAATACAAAATTGTTAGACCAACACGCCGAAGAAACTAAATACACTGCCAATACCATTTCAGCAAGCACAGCGATTACTGCACAATCGAGTGGCAGTTTAGTAAGAAACTCTAAATCCGAGAAGATACAAGAGGTCAACACTAGTGCTACATCTACAACAAATACTGCAACCAGTTCAACTATGTTTGGCCTACGTGCACTTACTGCAAAAGCAAACTCACTTTTTGATACCAAGGAAATCGTTGCGCCAACGCACAACGATAATATTGTAAAGAAACAAGAAACCGAACATATGGCAACCCTTGAAACTGCAGAAAGTGGTTTTCTTCGTCGTTTAATGCAACGAAACTCGAAACGTTCAATTTCAAAAATGCAATCAGCAGATGAAGTTTTGGATTCAAATGAAAGTATACCGAAGAAATTGCAAATTTCTATATCTAATATAGACACAACAGAAAGACTAAGTTCTGGGAATGGTAGCGCTATGAAGAAATCTCGTAGTGCCACTAATTACGTACAGAATGTGGAAGAAACGCGTAAAGAAATTAAACGAGAAATTGTTTATGAAGGTGCTAATGGATTAAATGCTATGATGAATTCGTTTCCACCAAATCAATTAACATTAGGCAATAGCACAGCAGCAAGGGAAACACCTATTAATCAAGCACATAAACCAAAATCTGGTCCTGCCGCTCGTCAAAGATATTTGCCACAAGACATAGAAGGTGAAAAAACTCTAGAAAGAAAAACAGCGGAGACTAAAGCAGACAACCTGGCAGCAACAGCTGCTGCAACTACAAGTAATCCTTTATCTGTTCCAACCACTTCTGACACTTTTCAATCTACATCGATTATACGCGAAATAAGAGCTTCACAATTGATTGGCAGCAATGAGTCATCCCCAAAAAAGTTGGAGCATTATGAAAAGAAACCTAAAATTGTTGGTCTTAGTGCATTTCAACAAAAAATCTCGCGCTCCAATGATGCTGTTGCGCGTGCTTCCACGAATTCGTTAGAAAGTGTATCTGGTGGTGAAATAAATTATCGGGACTTTGAACAGAAACAACGCAAACTTGTAGAAAAATCGCGAAGTTTCCGTACCTATAATGAAAATCGGGAGACAACAACATCGTCAAATATGCCGAGCTTACCGGACTTATCTTTGAACTTGAATTTATCTGTACCCACCTACAATGAGTTTATAATGAAAGAAAAGGCTTACCATGGCACGCCATCTCCTCCAGATAAGAGCGTATCTCTGGGCTTTGAAATAAATGATAATAATTTAATCAAACCGAACACAATACGTACAAATTCTGCCCATAATGTGTCGCTCGGACATACCAAAAGTGTTGTTGTGCCTTCAGCAGCCGGACTTCTCGCACCAAACGCTGGATTGCCGCAAATATCACCCACAAATAGTTGCAACATGAACATTAACGAAATAGAACAAAATATTGATATGATAGTGACATCACCATTCGTCAGCGTGCTGCGGAAATCGGCTGTGTACAACGATAACCCCTTAGAATCGCTAATAAACTCAGAGCAAGTTATTGCTGCACAATCTTACACTAAGGTTCCGTCACCGCAGAAGACACGTCCAAAGGTTTTGGAATTAAAAGGTTGCACCGCAGACGTGGAAGAAAAAATGACACCAACCACTGCAGCAGTGCCTTTGCGTGAAAAAATCATTATTAGTAATAATGCTACTACTGTCACTAGTGATAAAGCTACTACCAAAGAAATATTGGAGCGCAAGTCCGCACCAGTAACAACGGGCAACAAAACTCCAGTTAATATTAAGTCGATTAAGCGCAATATGAGCTTAACAGATACTGCTGCTGATGATATTGGCACACACATACCGGAATTTATGAAAATTCAATTAAATCGAGTGGATCCTGCGCGTATGGCTAAAACAAATATTGTTTTAGCTAAAAACATTAAAGAAACTTCTCCCAGTAAAGACATAGTTTCATCGAAATCGTCAAGTATGGATGATTTGAGCACAAGACGCGATAGCAATGAAAGTGTAGAAATAAATAAACGTACGTCTAAAACGCCAACAAGTGATACATCTACCGGATTTACAGGTATTACTGAGGCAGTTAATCGTCAAGCTCACTCAAATATTTCTAATAGTAATCAGGGCTTTATCGTCAATTCAAATAGTCCTCCTCACAGTAATGACACTTTTACTAAGATAGCGGTTACAGACAAGCAAAGCAATACCAATAAAAGCTGCAATGAAGCCGTTAAGCAAAGTACGGCTATTAGTCCAACTACAGTAACAACACCCACTGCATTTAACCACACTAATATGACCAAACAACGTAATAACGTTATTAACAATTCCACGTCAAATGGGGCGAGTAACAATGGCAGCTTAGATTCTAAACGATCTGCAATAACAAATTCTACTAAAGCAACAAGTGTTGACAACTCAATCAATCAAAATAATTTCAAAATATACTCCAATGGCAATAGTGACCTACCGCCAAAGAGTCCAGTTAAGAAAACGTATACACCACAGATTAGCAGTGCAGGTTTGCCTTCTGAAGAACATCTAATACCAAGTCTTACAACAGAAGATGGTGCCAATAGAGGTTACCAAACTTTAACTGATATGAGAATTTCTCTGCAGCACCGGAAACGTCTCTTTCTACAAGAAGAACAGGCACAAACAGTACGAAAAATCGAAGAAATCCGTAATGAACGTAAGAAATCAATTAACGATGAAGTTGTGTTTCGTAAATCAATAACTAAATCGGAAGAGCGACCTGAGAATATTGTTAGCAGTCCAACCAAATCTGAACCGAATCTGGAACAAACAGTGATGTTGCGCAAAAAATCATTTGGTGCAACTAGTAATAGTAGCATACCAATAAGCCAATTTAATAACAATAGCAGCGGTAATAGCAAAGAAGATGGCACTCCCGAGCTTATTAAAGTATTTGCTCGACGTTCTCTTAAAGTTAAGGATGAAGATATTAGCGCTTTAGCAGAAAAAATAATGCAAAATAATGGCAATGCTGTTGCATCTACCAAAATTATCAATAACAACACCACAAATGGCAATAGTACACAGGTGAACAATTTAAATTCAAACGGTAATACTTTGAAGAAACTACAACAACACTCTTCACAGCTTGTTACTCAACAACAGAACGTAGACAGCGATAAAGAGAATCATTCTGCCAGCGAAGAAAAGCTGGACAAATTATCAAAACCTGAAGTAAATGTGGAACGAGAAACCCTTACCAGCTCCAGTAAAACAGTGACAACCTCAAATGCGCATGCCAACAACAGCAATCGCAATTCTGTAGCCGATTTTCGCAACGGCGGCCCTCTTAATAAAAATGGATTGACCGTTCACAATAACAACAATAATAACAATGGAAATACCACTACCAGCGCTGGACCAACAAACAAAAGTGCCCTGCCTGTAGCGCGTAGTTTTCGTGCCATCTCTAGTAATATGAGCGTAACTAGCATTGGTAACAATAATAATAGTGTCAATACCACCAGTAAAGGAACGCTTGAGCGAAAATCTATGAATTACTTGAAACCTGCAGAAACCCATAATATCAGTACATCGACCAGTGTCGGTGGCAGTAAGGCGATTGAGCGTTCAGCAACTGTTAGCGAATTTAAAGGCATACATCAGCGCCGCGCTGAATGGGAACAAAGAGCTAAAGAGGCTTTTAAATGAATCTTCTACAATTCAATAGGATTTAAGGCAGGAGAGAGAATGAGATAGACAGACAACTTAAAACAAAATTTGTGTGTGATAAAGTATTGTGCAGGTGCGCACCTTCAACTAAACTTTGCAGTCAATAGGAATGCGCGGTTAATAGGATCGAAGAGTAGAGGAAAGTGGCTGGAGAATATCTGATATTGAAGAGTAAAAACATTGTAATTACAATTTTGAACTAAAAAATCTATTTTAACTCGGACCACAGAAAAAAAATTTAATTCTAATTTAAGTTTTGCTTTTATGAAAATTACTTGTGTACCATTCTAACTAGTATAAAATTTAAAAAATAATTATTAATATCACTAATTTAGCATAAATTTATTAACAAACAATATAAAATAAAACAATAATATGAAAATTATTTAAAGTGGAAATTTAATACAACTGCTGTACTAATTGATGATAATATACAACTACTGTAGAGAGAACTGCTTTATATCAATCAATATACTATTGCTCCATATTTTTATAGATGCTCACTGGTATAACAAAAATTATAGAATATAATTTATTTATTATTGCAGTGAAATGATATTTTTTATTTATTTAAATTTATACCTGGAGACGAAATTGAACTTTTAAACAAATTTTGACTGCGCTGTTGTAACAATCAATAATAAAAGTTGATCTTTCTATCTGATAATGACAAGATATAAAAACTTATATGTGCCCAAAATGCTTATACGATTTAAACCTGCGATATAAATTTTCTTCGATGTTGTACTAATTAACATAAGTTGTAGAAAGCAGTTGATCTCTGAAAAGAACCAAATCAAACAGACATGCTTCTTATTGTTATTATTATGTAGTTTAGAATGTATATTAAAAGAATAAGAGTTTAGAAATTAATTATTCCTTATTTTCTAATTATTTCATTGATTTTTAAATAATAATATTTAGAACAATAAGAATTTGATTCGGAATTTTTATTTTATCTATAAAGAGGTAACGCTTTCAATTGATAATATTATATATTTAATAGGTAAGGTTAGGTTATATCCTTATTAGGTTTTACCTTGTTTAACGCGAAGAATTTAAAATAATTTGGAACCAGTAATAAAACTTAAAATGGTGTTTTAGTAGAAGTCATGCTATTGATTAAGAGTCTCTAGAAAGTAAGTCTCTAGCATATTGTATAAATAGCAAATACATATGATTTTGTTGAAAATTAATTACAATTTTTATATAAGAATAGCATCAGTAAATATTTATGTAAATTGTTTGGTGGTAACTAGCCTGAAGGATACATACATAGATTATATCAAATAAAATCTGTTCTTTCTAAATCAAAATAGTCTTAATATAGCTTATTATTAAATTTTAGTATAATTTTGTGTTTGGACGACATGCTTGCCGCCTATTAAAATCATAAATTCTATATCTGTAGCTGTATGTATAAATTGAACTTTTCGCATTATAATTTGTACTAATGAAAAAATAGTTTATGCAACCATTGACGACATGATAACAAACGCTGGATATAAATTAGCAAATTAAAATATATGCTGGATACAAAACTAATATTATTGATATCTGACAAAAATAACGGCATAACTATTATATTATATACCATATGCATATAAAAAATTCAAAATCAATGTCAAATATATCGAAATAAAATCACGACAGATCTATTATATGATATTCATCACATGTTAATAGCATTATTTTTGGGTTCATATATGGTAATATAATCATATTATGAGTCATATGTATCAAAATCAGCTGTTTTTACGAAAACGAAAAGCGTGATCCCTCTCCAAATTGTTGTATGTACATCTACTTGGAAGATCAAAGACAAAATTAAAACTTAATATGCTTTGTATATATATGAGCTGTCTTTGATTATAATATTATATATTACAGATATTGTATAAGAACAATAAAAGCAGTTCTCATTTATCACCTACCTGCCTATACTCAAACTTTAATGTTAAAATAGATTTTTGACTTTATATTATTTGCAGACAGAAACCCAAAAATATATAATTATTTCAAATGATTTTTCGAAAATATTTTAATTGTTTGATATTTGTATATTATTTTACTTAAATATAATAAATAATTATTATATACATAAATAGTTATGTATACGAAAAAAATTTAACCCTTGTTACACCGATTAAACAAAATAATTTATATTTTTGTTATCTCAATAATGATATTAAAAATAAATGAAATGATACAAAATAATTTATTGACGTATAATAAATACTTGTTTTCTAAAATTTTATCACTTAATTTTTATATTAAATTTACTAGATTTTTATATAAATGTATATGTATGGAATATTTTCAAAAATGCTTTAATTATTAAAATCTTTAACACATTTAATAAAATACTAGTTTATGTAATAAAGTAAAAACCGCAGTTTAAAATTATTTATTTTTTTTTAAATATTTATTTTTTTTAAATATTTATTTATTTTTTTTTAAATATTTATTTATTTTTTTTTTTAAATATTTATTAATTTTTTTTTTAAATATTTATTTATATTGGGTGTTTTAATCGAAAGCAGCGGCAAAGACTGCGGTAGAATGAACATTTTCGCAAAAACTATTTACAATATAATTTTCACCAAAAATGGATTAAAAAAATTTTAAGGTTCTCAAATTGATTTTAAATTAGACCAATCCCTTTAACATCATTTCTTCACATTTCAGACTAGAAATCACTCTTAAATAGGTACGAATTTTAATTTATAGTACCTTTAGTTGTATATAAACTATGATTATTATTTTCTAATTACAATGATATATCCACCATTGTATAACACTAAAATAATTTATTTTATCATTTATTCTTAAGTATTTTTTTATGTTAATTTTTTTACCAATTCGAATGAGTGACATTTCTGAGGAAATTTATAGTCTAATTCTTCTTCTGTGAATATCGAAAACATAATTTTTCATTTAAAAGCACACACTTATGAAGAAGATTTTTGTTTCTGCGCCTTCCCAATAAGCAAAAATTGGAATATTCTCTAATAGCAAACGGTATCTAACATATATTATTCAATCTGATCGAGCATTTTGATGTTAAAGTATATTTGCATTCGAATATTTGCTACTAAAGATAGAATAAAAGAATTGATGGTTTGACAGTAGTCCATTATTAGCAATTATTGAGTTCGTTTAGAACTTACAAATAATAATATATATAGACAGTTTAAAAAAAATATAACCTATTTTATATAACATACTTAGTATTCCAAAATTAAGATAAAATATATTATCATTATTTAATTATTATATTTTAAATAAATTTAGATTTAAAAACTATTTAACTTTCCTATCGAAATTTATTTTTAAAACCTTAGAAATCGAATGAGGTCTAAATCGTTTTCTTATAAATTTGTGTGCTGGGTTTGTTCGGAAAAATTACTCATACGAAAGTGTTAAGTTTGCGGAACACTTTTCTGAATGACATCAACAAAGATGAAAATAATTTTTTCTGAACAATTTTCAGTAGAGGGAAATGTAATCAATTGTGATAAATGAGCATATATTGAAAATTCTGTAGAAGATTAGCAACCCTTGTAATTTTAGCAGACAGCAAAGGAAGTGTGTCATTTTTATAAGTCATGGAACTTATAAAAATGACTAACATGTGTTCGAAAAGTCTTCGCGTATATCACTGTATTCGAACTAGAGATATGCGTGTGATATACTTGCTTATATGTAATGAAATATTCATGGTTGAATATGTATATGCGTGAGTTAAGTTTCTCTACTTGTTCGTCTTCAATTTTATAGGTGATCTTTACAAAGAGAACTAAAGAAATCGATAATATTAAATACATAAATGTAATCGCTTGTTGATCGTCGATACTTTGAAGCAGTTTTCTTTCTCTTTATTTTGAGAACAATTTTGTTTGTTTTATAATTATTGCACTATTTTGTATTGTGGTTGACAAAGTCTATCTTGTCTAAAAGTCTATCTGCTAACAGTATTCCTATATTATATAGCCTTGAAGTTATAGTATAAATTTATAATATAATTGACTTTAATTATTAAATCATTAGTTTTTGTTTAAACTGTCTATTCCCAGTAGCATTATTAAAATAAAATAATACTGCATTATAATCATTTAAGCCGTGACAAGATAAGTTCATTATTTAAGAGAAGGTATTTTTAGATATTGACATGGATAAATATAAATTTTCTCAAAAACGCCTGAATTTGCATCACCGAACTTTTTGTGTGAATAAAATTTCAACTATATGGCCTAATTACGATCTGTTCAAGCACTTTATTTCAATATATATTTGTATGTATATTTTTTAAAATTTCCAAAAATATATTACGAGATTTTCAATAATATGTCACTGCATGAAAGGGCCTTGGCACCAAGAAAGTGAAGTATTATGCACATTTCGATTAAAATTTGGGGCAATTCATAATTTGAAATCATTTTACATTTTTGAAATTACATATGAATGTAATTTTCATATCTGAGATTAATATTAACATATCTTTGAAATTTCAATTTCATATATTTTTATAAAAATAAATTAGAATTACATACAATCAGGGAATATTTTTTAAAATCTGAATTCGTCACTTAAAAGTTTAATTTTACTTAATTAGTTAATAAAATTTGTTCAGATTTACGAAAGGCAATATGTTTTCCAAATTGAAACTCTGTTTTAATTAGATATATTAAATAGAACTTTCGTCCAAGACACCATATGCGTCGTCTGACGTTTGCAAATCGTTTAACAACCGATTAATATTTTCACATTTCTAAAACCCTTTAAAAAATTTTGATTCTGTAGCAAGTCCATTTTACATTGAATTTTCTTACCGACGTCGTTTATTTGTCGCTTGATCGATATGTCCGCAAACAAAATTGACGCAGCTGAGGCAACAAAAATCCACATACAACTGTTGAAAGACTATTGCATCCAGAAAAAACCATTGGTCTGGAGGTGTGATAACTATATACCAGGATGTACAGTACTGTAAGATTTCTTGTGGAGAACGTACAAATGAAGCTTAATTTCATACCTAAAATCAATCTCTTTAAATAAACGGAAAAAATATTTCTATAAAAGAGACCTAAATATATGCACTATCAATTTTGTCGACAATATCTATGATTAATAATTTTAATTAAAAATTTTAATTATACTTTCTTATGAGTGTTTATTTATTTAATGAATATAACACTATCATCCATACCTAGGTAGTTCTAGTCTTTTATCATAGAAAAAATTAGTAAACTATAGAATTTATTTATTTACTACTCTTATAATTTTAAACTTAATAAAGTCTTACTAAGAGATTAATAACTCAGTTGCTATTGAACAATTGAGAAGTACCCGTTGTTTTTCTTAATGTAGAGGTATGCCAGAGCCTAATATAAAATATATGCATAATATTCTCAACTCTTTATTACTCTGTCAAAGTTGAATGAGTGCTAATGCGATGAAAGTCAGAAGGAGTTCCATATATCCAGATGAAGTAATTGTTAATGCATAATCATACTTTAACATAATCTAGAGAATTAAAATATTGCTTACCGTTTAAGTTGTGTTTATACTTAACACAGTCGTAAAGGACCTTAGGCTTAAACAGACAGAATTACTCCATCTGACCAGAAATAACTGCAAACTATGTAGAGCATATGTAAGTAAGAAAGGGTTAGATGAGTTACTTAAAGTAAATAATCTTAACCATACAATTGGGTTGATTATGCATGCTAAAAGCATTTTGGGTTCATATATATATTTAATCTCATCATATAGTAATCTAATTCCAATATTATTACAAACTATCCATTCTACACTTACTGAATTTTGTAAAAACAAATGATTATGCTCAATCTATAATTATGCATTAATACGTCACAGTTTTTAAATTCTTCGATATAAATAAATAAATATATCTATAAATATTCATATGAAATATATCAAAAACAATACACAATATATTGAATTGAATAAAATTCTAATTTAAAAAAATATTTAAAAATATTTATTTTACAATAATCTTAAAATTTTGGCGTATAAGTAACATTTAACAACTGTTCTCCATTAATGTTCGGCATGGGATATAATAATCTATTTTTAAAGTGAAAAATAACAAATTTAATAAATTGTTATAATAAAAACTTGTCAAAATATTATGATACTAAACTAAAAATAATATTTCATATAATAATAATAATTCTTTCAAATCTCTTCCTTAACTTTCAAAAGTTATTAACCCAACAATATAAATCATAGAAAATAACATCTTCGGCATTTGTCTTGTCAACAGTGTATTTAATTTTCTGTTTTCTTCTATTGTAGAATATTTGGAATATATGTATTTTCAGAAAAGATAGAATTTTTTTGAAATTATTGTAAATGACAATATTTAGTACGAAATGTTGTGAAATGCCGGGGAAAACTACAATTTCTTTTGAATAGAATTGTATCATATTTAATTTTAATATTGGAATAATAAGTTTGCTTATAATATTCAGAAGAAAATAATAACATAAATATACTCAAATAACAGTGTTAAAAAATATAAAATAATATAATTTTATTAAATATTTTTCTTTGGAAATTTGTATTTAATATATTAATTTATTTTTTTGTTAATTAATTTATTCGTTTCCTTGAACCTCACCTTAACAAAAATATTATAGAAAAATTATTTTTAAATTAAAATTGCCACTAATATTAATAAACAAAAATTTCTTTAATATTATGTGTTTATGTATTTAATATTATAATATGATTATATTCGTATATACAAATTCGTGTTTTCCTACAATTTTTTATTCGCTTTTTTTATATATATATATGTTGTATATATTTATATATTTAAGCTGACATTATCTTATGATAATGAAACAAAATTTATCTTTTCTTTATAACAGTTTTGTTCTTTATTATAATAATAATTGTTTTTTATTAATTTATATATTAAATGCCATTTATTACAATAAAGGCTACTGATGGTTTGGGAATGACTTAAGAAACTAAGCGGGGTAAGCAAGGTAATAATAATAAATTTTATTTTAAATAGAATATAAATTTTAAACACTAAAAATAAATTCCAATTTTCACAACTGAAAAGTAATGACAAAAATTTAATAGCATCATTAATATGAAAGAATTTTTATTTTGTATTCCAACCAATTTTACTGAAACCATAAAAACCAAACTTAATTTTACGATTATGAAGTATGACCTATTGAACCAAATTTGAAGACATTAGCAGACATTAGTACAGATGCGTAATATAAATTTTATAAGAAATATTCTAAAAGTATTCTTTCAAGGAATCATCTTTAATGATTTGGCATATTCCTTATATAGATTATTGCCAAGTAAAATTATGACAAGATGAAAAGACTATTGAACGGATCATTTACAAATGCTCACGTTTGAACGGACTCTGCGATTCAGAATCTTATAAGGTAAGTAGTGATACTTTTTAAGTCACACAAATCTACTTAAAACGAAGATATGAAGCCACAGTTTTGCTGGTAATTACTATTGCAAACTGGAATTTTTGTCATATAAAATTTTTAAAATGAAACGGCTTGACTGTTTGTAGGGTTGGAACCATGTATAGCTTAAGAAAAGGTTATTTTTTTCACCCATTTAGAAATAAGTAAAGAAACAGAGCAAGCTTTACTGGTACAATCAAATTCGCGCATAGGAACTTTCAACCTAAAACAAATATCACAATTTCTCGACAAAATCGGGTTTGCAGAATCACTTAAATTTATGAAGGAAGCAGAATAGGTCTCTAGGTCACAGTGCTAAATCCTCCAACGTAATAATTATAATAAAACTGTTACAACATATAACTGTAAGTAGAAAATACCTTTCCATATAAAAAATATTTTCGTTCCAATATTACAAATGGATAAATATTACCGAATACGATATAGCAAATAAATAAAAAATCTGGTTTACTTAGCATATCCGGTGGTTAGATTGTGTAATAAATGATGATCATAGATCATTAATAAACGAGAAAATTTCGAAAATGATACGGAAGTTATACGTGAAGGGAAAGAAGGAGAGGGAGGAAATGGTAAATTTATATCAAAATAAATGGGAAATTTATGGAAGGTAGTGATAGACACTAAGATTCACACAGAACTTTAACGTTATAAGTAATTAAATAAGAATGAGTTTTAAAATAAGTGAGACTAGTGAGTATCAAAGTTAAGCAAACCACTTACTATATATGTAAAAACTTACTATATATGTTTATACTTGATTGGCATTTCTTATAGTAAAATTTTTCCAACTAAACTTATCAGTATAATTTAAATAAAAATTGTTATTCATTACAATAATTTTTAAATGTGGTGTCAAACGATAAAATATTTTGTTTAAGTCAAAAAATATAATAAATTTCGCTTTTTTTTATAAAACGCAAATTTTAAGTTTTGCAACTACACTGGAAAGCTTCCTTTACCAAGAGCACAAAACCATATGTACTAATGTTGACAAAACAATATATAAATAAATAAAAATACGTCTAGCAGCAAAAACAAAAGTAATCGAAATTATATTTATTTTGAGTAGAACAAAAACAAAAATAACAACAGCAACAACTGCTACTAAGAATAAGAAGAATAATAAGCTTGAGTGATTTCATAAAAATCAGCTGAGCAATAGAAAAAGCTTACTTAGTCGAGGAGCATTAAAGGAAGCAGCATCATAGTGGCAGCAGCAATAACAAAAACAATAATATTGAAAGCGTAAAAGCAACAGCATCAACAGCGTCACTATTTGATATTGTTTATGTAAAAGTTAATATTGTTTTGCCGCTTTTGTTGTTGCTTTTATTCTTTTGCTACTGGTATTGTTGTTGTTGTTTCTGATGGCATCACTGCTGCGAGAAGCAAGATTTAACGACAAAGAATAAAAATATTTCAGTTGAATTTTAAACAAGAAACGAAGCGGTTGGTGGATGCGTGCGAAAATTATTGAATGAATTTTCTTGCATATTCGGCCAATAAAAAAATTTCTAAATAACGGAAAAGTCAAAAATATCGTCCAAAAAATATTGTGGAAATTATGTGAAATTTTTGAAATAAGAAATATTCAGAATTATAAAATATCAAAAATAACACAAAAAATATAGCAAATAATTAAGAAAAAAAAATTAAAAATTCAAAGTAAAAAGTGCGCGAAAATATTTTTGAAATGTTAAACAAAACTTTATGAATTTTTATAAAATATATAAAAATCAAATAAAATTATATTAGTATAAGTGTCTTTATTTAAATAAAACTAATATACAATTTAAAAATGTCCCAATCATCACCGCCACCAAAACGTCGTGCGCCACGTCCGCCACGCATGAATCTAAAGAACTCCAACAATGGTTCCGCTATGGGTTCCATGCCACCTACTGCTCAACCGCCATTTACAGCACAAACAACACACACTTTTCCCGGTTTTGCTGGTGGTGGTCAACCGTACTGGCCTAATTATGCGAATCCATTTGCGGCGGGTAATTTTATGGCAAAAGGATTTGAGGGTTTTGTAGATTTTACAAAATCGGGCATGAGTTTTGGTGAGAAGTTCACTTACGGCTTATATGACAAATTTAGTAAATGGTCAAAAAAATGGTTTACGCATATATTTCTACTTTTTGTTGTTACACTGTATAGTGTTGGAGGTGCCGTGCTGTTTCAAGCCATTGAAAGTGAGTTTCAGTTTAAAGATATATTTAAGAGACATGTTAGAAATCTTAAGTACGAAGCGGTACAAATTATTGTAATGACATTTATATTATATAGAGTAAACCTCTCTTTGAAGAGCATTTAATACTTCGTTAAAGGTTCGTGATGAATTAAGGGTTTAAAGAACAGGTCTATCCTTCGTTAAAGGTTCCTAAAGTATTAAGAAGAAGTTAAAAAAAATAAGTAGCTCAATTACTGGAAAACTTTATCCGATAAATAACAAATTTTTATAAAAAATTTTCACAATAAAATTAATTCAGAAGTTTAGTTTATAAAGACGTAGGTATCAGAAATCAAACTACAGAATATTTAGTACACTAAAAACTAGTAGATAACTTAAATTATTTGGAGCTGCTTCTTTCCAGTATGTTTTGATTTATTATGTTGTTATTATCCATATTAAGGACAGTTGTAATCATTACTGTTCCATACATTTGCATACATTTGGCAATAAAAATATGTTTTATGAACATTTTTAACCTTTTAAAGCTTTGATGAAAACATAAGAGCCGTCCACATCATAGTTAATTATAATTAGTTAATTAATTCTAAAAAATAGCACAAAAGTGCTTGGACAGCAACAATTTTTTATTATTAAATCCGTTAAATATTTGTATATAGAATAGGCAAACTATTAGGGAATTTAATTTACGATCATTTTTATATATTGATATTTACGTCTGCATTTTATGCACCATATGCATAGTGTCAGGAATTGTAATAGATATTATATTAGATATATATCTAAAAGTATACCATGTATGTAAAAACCCAGAAGTTAATTTGGAGAGTTATAAAACTGCAATTTGTGTATATTTTATTGATTTACTTTTCTTTATTACTTGTTTTTAAACCATGTCTATCATTTACTATTTATTCATACATTTATAATGGGCATATAAAAATAATGGCTCACGATCCTTTTTTGGGTCTTTATATTCTCAGCAGAATTATAATTTCCAAGTAGCATACATATGAAAAGGTTTCTATTAATAACGACATAAATAATGCTTCACATTGTTTCTTAATCCTTTTTACACTTCTATTGTACTTTATCTATTTGTCTCTACATAAAGAGTATCTTATTTTTAGTAATTGATATCTTTCTTCTGTTCCATTATCGTTAATTATATATAGTTCACACATCAATAATTTAATTTCGTACAAATCTGTTTATATGTTAAAAATTGTGAAATTAATTACATTTTTCTATTAATTAAAGCATTTGTATTCTCTTATATCTAGAAAACAATTTGAAGAACAACTTCATTAGTACAAAACACTTAACTGACATGAACAATATATTTAGAGTCAGCAGTTAATCAAAAACCAATTTAATGTACTTTTTACACATAATGTCATGAAGATTTATTTTATAGATGAGTAGTAATAGATACATGAGTGCTTTATTAATAACTTCTGATTAACTATAAAATACATTTACTAATTAAAAGTTAACAAGATTAATTATTTCTAGCACTTTAATATAATACTCTATAAATGAAATTAGAAATGAAATAAAATCTAAGATTAAATTATTTTTAAAGTTGTATTAATTTTACTTTAATTACATGAATTTTTATAATCAATTTTTTTTTTTAATTATTACTGGGCTTAGGTCGTTAATCTAACATACAATAGTTAAAAATTTTTTTTAAATAAGAATTACAGTTATAAATTTGTGTTAAATATTTAATTGTATATTAATTTTTATAAAAAAATTATTTATATTACATCACAAATCTGAAGATTATTATACACTGAAGATGGTCCGAAATATCTGTAAAACAAATAATTTTTTATAAAAATTAATATACAATTAAATATTTAACACAAATACATAACTATAATTTTTATTTAAAAAATCATTTTTAACATTTTTAATTATTATAGATTGACCTAAGCCTAGTAATAATTTAAAAAAACCTATTGAATATTGGTCGTGATAACAATTTATTAATAATTAATCAATAAAAAAAATTTGTGAAATACTTTTTTTTGAAAACAATTTAATTTTATATTCCAATATTTTCTAATATTTTCTCAGTTTATAATAGAGAATTAATAATAAATTTTTCCAATTATTATTTAGTACAACATCAGTCTCATGACTCTGCATAAGGTATACCTTTATCCATAACCGGTAGATTTGAAAACATTAACCAGGCGATATTTACACTGTAGATGAAAATTTTAATGTATTGAAATGATAAACTCTGCTGCTAGAACATAAAAAATAATAAAAATATTTGTTACTGTCAAAGCATTTTTGTGTTATTTTTTAAAACTTAAATATTTTTTCTTCAATTTAAATATTTAATATTATAGTATTTAAAATACTCATTTTTAATTATTTATGTTGACTGAAAGCTACTACAATATTTGAAATAAGTTACCGGCAAGATTTCTGTAAACTCTTGTAGTTCAATTGTACTTTTTAGCAAACAATAACTCAGTATTTATTAAGTTTTATTTCACTAGTAGTACTATCAGCACGATGTAGAAATGCCGTATTTTTTTTTTAAATACTTTTGCCGAGACTATATTAGCATAACGAAGAACACTCTGATTTCATTCGAAAGTTGTGGTTTTCACGATCAGCTATAGTCGAGACACTCTACCCTACCGGTTATTTTAGTATCTATTATATTTATATTTATTCTTTTTTTTCTCTTATGGCCAAATAAAGCCAGATCATTATCCGGATTTGTGACAATAACGTAGCGATTTCATTAAAAGTAAGTGAAGACAATACTGTTTTTAGTTGATGAAGTTTATTATATATTATAAAAAAAATTCATATTGTTAATTATTTAACAATTATTGCAAAGCTGCTGCTAGCAAAATTAAACTAAGCATAAGCTATGGGGATTATTATTAAAATATTTTTGACTCTTATTGCCATTCTTCAATAATTTCGAATATATATGCATAAATTTAGTAAAAAATTAATAATAATAATTTGTTAAAATACAAACACTAAAAATAATAAAACATTTCAAAATTTCATTTTTAATCTTCACTAATTTTTAATGCTATGGATATGATAATGTGCATAGAATGAAAGTTGAAGTTCAATGAGTTCGTGCTAATTTGTATCGACTTAATAAATTATATGCTAAATTATATGTTCTTATTTACAAAAAAAAAAAAACAAAACGAAGCCGATACGTATAATAAAATGCATTGTAAATTTTTAATTGAAAAGTAAACAATTTGAAGTCAATTTTCCAGTATACAATATTTAGAGGCATTGAACATTTGCAAAAATAAATCTAAATATTTATATAATATTTGCTTCCTCTCAAAATAAAAACTCGCATCCCCAAAATAAAAAATTACACAAAAAATAATGCTTTTATGTTAACTTTTTAAATAAATTGAATGAACGAATTGGCCGTAGTCAAACCGAAGCACTCAACCCAAAATCGGAGCGTGTTGAGCGTGTCTGGAGGCATGTCTATGAAATAATTTAGTTGTTAATTCCATATAATTCCGGTTTTTAATTGATGCCTCAAAGTAGCTATAAACATATATAAATAAACAAACTAATCTTATGTGTAAGACGCACATAAATAGATATAACCACATAGGAGTACGAGCATCTAGATGAGGAATATGTAGCTACCCGCTCCAGAGCAACGCCTTTCCCAGATGAACTTTTTTCAGGTGAATCAGTTTTCAGTTTTATAATTTTTTAATGAGTGCAATGCCGTGTGCTCTACACAATGAAATTATTGAAATGGACTAAAGCACCAGATGACTGATGTCTGCCTTAATGTATAGACAGTTTTTCTGAATATCAATAAATCAATTTCCATCAGCACAAACATCATCACCACAAAAATACAACAAACAGAAAACAAACAAATTGAGAAGGGAAAAAGCTGATTTTTCTTAAATGAAAAACTTTAATGAAAATTGTTTTTATTTTTAGTTTGGCAACAAATTTTTTATGCCATCATCTGCGTGAAAAATCTTTTCACACAGATTGGGGTCAAATATTGCCTCTGCTGATCATAGATGAAAAAATTTTCACAAGCACTTTAGGTACCTCAACAACCCAAAGGGCACTTAGCAGATATTCACGCTTGTACGAATAATGAAATTAGTTTAAATTTATTGTACCCAACAGAAGCGGAAATTCAAGCATTTAAAGCTTGTCGTCGTTTGGTGCTTGGATGTCTGTCTCCTATGGAAAATCCATTTGGCATTGACCTTCCGTTTTAAAGTACAACATTTTTATTTTAAATTTTTTTATACTTAGTAAAGTTTAATGAAATAAATGAAAGTTTATTTACTCTATTTCTTTTTGATAAAATTAAAACTACATCGAAAACATTCTTCCATCGAGGAAGAAAACGATGTACAGTAAATTCCGTACTGTACATAATACGAGTATTTATTGCTGTAAAACCCCTAAGAGTTCACAAAATTAATACCATAAAGTTTAATTTATAAAATATGGTACTACTTATATATACAAATTTAATAAATATGTAGTATAGTATAAAGTAAACAAAATAAAGTTTTGTTACCAATAAGGATTTAACATATGTTAGTCCATTTACTCTTGATATTTCAGAAAACACAATGCAATTCTAATACATAGAATGGCATTATTACATATATTAGAAGAGCAAACCTGAGCAACAAAATTTAATTCTTTGAAAATTCAACGCTGCGGTCATCAACCTATGAGATCTTATGTGACCTTTTATCACTTTTGACAAAAGTTTATATATACATGTGTAAAGCTTGTAAAGGAAGATATCCCTTGCCAATTAATTGTTTCTCTGTTACGCGTTATTTTTAAACCAAAAAAATATGAAATAGCTTTCCACTGCCATTATCTGTCGTAAAGCAATGCATAGAAATATATGGGTACATACATAACCATAGATATAGATAAAGATATAGATATAGATATAGATATAGATATAGATATAGATATAGATATAGATATAGATATAGATATAGATATAGATATAGATATAGATATAGATATAGATATAGATATAGATATAGATATAGATATAGATATAGATATAGATATAGATATAAATATAGATATAGATATAGATATAGATATAGATATAGATATAGATATAGATATAGATATAGATATAGATATAGATATAGATATATATATATATGTATATATAATTAAAATATATATATATAAATGTGATATAAATTATTTTTTGTATTATTTTTTATTTCTTTTTTAGGTGGAAGAGTGGAACAAGTGGACATATCGTACAATAAAACAATGGACATACATACAGCACAGAAGGAATTTTTTAAAGCAATGAAAAATATCTCCGTTGACTATGAACTGCGAAAAGTAAGTGCATTTCTTATGCATTTTAGCATATTAAATCTATAGGTTGTGTACTTTTATCGGTTCTAATAACCCTCGAAATATTATTTATTTTTTCTTGATTTTTTTCAGTACGACATTAAAGAGTGGAATGGTAAGCTAATTAATACATTACGTTCATACCAACCGGCAGTTGAGTCACTGCTGAATAATAACAAATCGCTTGAAGAACTACTAAATCCAGAGGAGCCTTGGAACTTTTGGAATGCCATGTTTTATTGTGGCACGATTTATACAACTATAGGTGAGCTAAAAATTTATTTAATATAATTTTAAATTGAATTTTATGTCATTGAATTCACACGTGTAGACGGACGTGTGAATCTTTAATCTTTTACACCTCATCATTTAGAACACTTGCTCATTAGTGCAAAACACTGAAAGAAAAATTAGATTCTTTAGGCACTGAATTGAATCTGTGTCAATAAATGCGAGGTTCAACGAATTCTGTCAAAAACTACATCAAGAACATTTCTAGTGCGAAAACTCCCACATAGTTAGGAACGATTTTGAAAAATATACTTTATAGCAAAAAAAAACATATTTTTAAGAAAAATGTTAAGTGTACAACGCAATACTCAAGCCATTAGCGCCAAGATTTGCGTCTCTGGGGACATAATATAATAATTTAAAAAATATATATATTTATAATTATATATTTTTTTTTTCGTTTTTTGAGTAAATCTTATAAATATTTTTCTTTATCATTTTTATTTTTCGTTCTTATTAAAAGTATTTTTAGCATTTCTCCGATTTTGAATTCGAAGAATTTTGTAAAATTCATAATACTTTGATAATCAAACAAAATAATGTCAGCTGTATTTATCTAAATTATACTTTTTGTTTGTTAAAATTTATAATAATAGTAGTTTTCTTTCGGTCCTTGCTTGTACATATTTTTCAAACTAAGATCTCGTATAGCAATTCCATAAAGACTAAATTATGTGTAGAATTGTATAGCTCTTGTCTTTATAATAGATTATAGATTATAATAGATTTCTGTTTATCAGTCTTGTATAAAATAATTGGAGCTAGTAATAAAAGGTTAAGATACCTAGAAGTACATGTATGGTAACATCAAATAATAATTAAGCTGATAATTGAATATTCTGTAAACTTTCTTCAAGCGTATATCGATCAAAATTAATACTAGATTATCGAAAATACCGATAGACTGTTTTCAATTGACGATCAAATTTATAGATAGATTATCTAAGTTATCTATAGCCAATCGAAGTTATTGATAGATTATTAAAATTATTAATGAACTCTTAAAACCATCGATAGACTGCCAAAAGTGTGTAACAGACGTTCCAATTATCAATTATGGTTTGCAATAAATGTGGCATGAACATTGGCTTCCAATACGTCCAGAGCCGCTGATTTGTCGACATAGACCAACGTCTTAACATAGCCCCATAAAAAATAATCGAGGGGCGTTACATCACACAAACGAAAGACCAACAGGACCACTTCTGAATATAAAGTTTTTACCAAATTAATTTTGCAATAAATCGATTGTTAAGCACGCTGTATGGCAAGTTACGTCGACTTGTTGGAGTCAATGTCGTCGATATTTAGTCAGCATCGCTCGATAGTGCTCGTCATTCACTGTAACTGTAGTTCTCGTTGCCACCAGCGTGTAAACCATGTAGTTGTTTGACATTCTCAGCTGTCAAACCTTAGTTATCGATATCGATAGTTCTCATACAGCTGGAAAAATACCCTGTATAATACATTTCTGATCATAAAAATGAAATTAATTATATAGAAACACAAACTGATGATTCACTTCAATAAAAGTTTATAAATTTTGCAATAATATAAATAAAACCTTAACATTGTGATTTAGAAACTAAAAATATATTATATCGACTTCGATCACAATGAATAAAAATTTATAAGAACTTCAAAACGAAGATGAATTTTATAAAAAATTATATATTATATTATTATATTATTCATTATTTATTATTAAGAAATGCTTAATATCGTCAAATATAATATAATTACTATTCATACAAATATATTTATATTTATTTGGGCTCGTTACCTTTTAGATTTGCAGATACTTTTTATTCATCTAAAAATAAAATTCCACAAACTCTTGAATGCAGCCATTTCAAATGTTTCAAAATAAAAATTATTTGAATCTTTTCAGTAAATTTAAGAAAGACATCCAAATGTTGAATTGTTTAGAAATCTGCATAAATTAAGCGAGTTCATCTATTTAATGCTTCCACAAGATAATAAACTGCAAATTGCAACTGCAACAGATTGTTTACATATGTCGAACAAGTGCAACATTGCGGAAAAAATCCATTAAATCAGACATTTCATTATTATGGCATTTTTCTCGTATAGTAGTCCGTAGTCGGCAGTGACAATTACTTAAGTATATTCAGAATATTTTCCAAAATATATCAATTTGAAGTGCGCTGTCTATTTTCCGTTTTTTATTCGATATTTATTTTAGAACGTAAAGCAGATAGATGAGTATAACTTGCCACCTGCTATGATACTTAGGTCGTGTGCGAGTTAGGCTAAGTTGATGCTAAACCAAATGGGAGATTTTTTGGGATTTTTTGCACTGCACACATTTGGCCATTTATCAACACGTATCGACACATCACTACATTATCGGCTCATCTTAGAATTTCCCTCATTTAGAACGCAACTTAGCCTAACTCGCACACGTCCTTAAACTGTTAGAAAGGCCCCAAATCATAAAAAAACATTATAGTATTTTTTGTTACTGGATAAAGAAGAGACAATCCTATAGTAATGGATATTGCATTTAAAAGTTCTTGGTTATGATTTTTGAAATAACTATTTAACTATTTCGGATCTGAGTATAGAGTATAGATTGTTATTCCTTTCTGCTCACTCGGTATCCAATATCCTAGAGGGGTCACAAAAAAATTATATTATTCTGTTTTCGTCCATATTAAATTTTTAAGTAAAGAAAATGCACTGCAATCTATCTATGGGTCCATAGCGTTTCCTTAGGAGTCCTGTTTTTAAATTTCCCACTCATTATAGTATTTTTTGTTACTGGATAAAGAAGAGACAATCCTATAGTAATGGAGATTGCATTTAAAAGTTCTTGGTTATGATTTTTGAAATACCTATTTAACTATTTCGGATCTGAAAGAGTATAGATTATTATTCCTTTCTGCACACTCGGTATCCAAAATCCTAGAAGATTCATAAAAAAAATTATATAATTTTAATTTCTTCCATATAAAATTTTTAAGTAAACAAAATACACTGCAATCCATCTATGGGTCCATAGCGTTTCCTTAGGAGTCCTGTTTTTAAATTTCCAACTCCTTGTAAATAAGTATTACAACTATATAGTAAGTGCTGATATGATACTTAATAATGTTTGTGTTTATGATAGCTAAACCCATTTTTTTTCTTTTCTGAGATTGTCGACATGAATTTCTAATAGTCATTCCAGATTCTCGAAAAACAGACAATACAGCTGAAAATCGCCGCAAAAACTAATACCTTGATTATTCTTTGTGCGTGTCTTAATATAGGTAGCAAAGAGAGAACTTCTTGTTCCAATGCATGCCTGCTTATAAAATAATATCTGTTTACAAAGGACACAAACTACCGATTTTGGTTATACCCAAATTAATGAGTTTCCTGCTCTAGATGTGATTATAAATGTGAACAGATTCAATTAATCTTTTCACAAATGATGTCATAGATTTTATTAATCACATTTATTTTATTAACTATTTCATCAGCATATTTGGGGATATTTATCGACGACTTTCAGTTTAAAATAAATTTTATTAAAAAAAAATTTAATAAATTATAATTTAACACCCATTGTGACGACAGTGACTATTTTACTAAATAGAAACTATTGGATTTAATAGAGAAGTATATAATAATAGAGAAAATAGCAACAACAAAATGTTTAATATTTTCTTTTTGACTGTTTAATATGTTTAATATTTTCTTTTTGACTGACCTGCCGGCTTTGGGTCAGTTGATTCTGACTTGATGCTGACTCTGAGCGTCGAATTTGGCAGGGTACGAGTTTAACCCTTCGTACTTGTAGTCTCAAAAATTTATTTACGAACAATTATATATAAGAAACAATTCCAAGACCACTAATGATGAGTATTTGGTAATACTCGAAACAGTCAAAAATTCATACTGAAATAGACTCAGTTAAATACTGCTTTAGTATGAAAATTTTTATACTATTTTTATGTGCAAATATGCAATTTAGTTTTATTTTTAAAAATAAAAAATACACAACAGCGAATAAAAATATTTAATATAAGTCGAGTGCCAAAGCAATTTTTGAAAGTAAAGATTTTTATAATCCATAACATTTATATAAATATTTTCACATTTTGTATTCAGAAACAAAAATAAATTTAATTTTTTGGTCGCAGAAACTGAAAGTTTTTCAACAAAATAAATTTATTTATAATATTGGAACATTTATTATATTTTTCTAAATATACAATAATTCTTATTAATGGCTTTCACTCACAGTTGTTGTAATTAGTATTTTGCACTTAAACTTTTATACATTATATACATATATTTATATGAATATATAATAGTAGAAATAATTTATATAGATACAATGCCCTTAAGTCAACCTGTTTTTATAAAACAAATTAATTAATAATAAAAATGATATTTACCCACAATCACTTCGTCCTTTAAGATGTATTGAAGTATATATGGTATTGACTGAACAGAACAATATGCTTTAATTCTTTATACTTGAAATAATGATTTTGAGAACCTCACATCGGTCCAAAGAATCCATATTCCCTTTTATATAGATTCCACATTTCCTGATTATTAATAGTAATATTAAAACATTTTATAAACAAATTTTTAAAAGTAATTTGTTTATATCATTATTTTAATTTTTATTTTATTTTATTTTCCTCAATTAGAAGTTATTTCAATTCATTTAAAATTGTAAAATTAAGTTTTTGGAATCACTTTTGAAAATGCGGTCGTAAAACAATTTTGTTGGAAATTTGTCAAATGTGTTGAAAAACTATTAACGACTTGAAGATAATTTGCAGATACATAAGATCGACACATGAAAATGTTTATTTTATAATAAACAACACTCATTTCAAATTACTTAGCAAAAATAATTTTGAGGATTGATGATGGATTTGTCATAAAATAGTTGCACACATTGATATGACAGTACACAGTGGAAACATTCAGGATTTAATTAATTTAATT